AGCAATGATGAACATGTTTTTTTGAATACGTCTTTCACAGAAGACATAACCATCACTAGATTCCCAATAATAGAGTTTTCTAGAAAACCAAAACCCTAGTTTTCCAGTACCTAGAACTTGCGAATAAAATTTTGTTCAAACTACGTAGAATGATAGAGCAAACAATTCTCTACAAATTGAGATGTCCCTAAGCTCTCTACAATGCTTTTTGGTCGAACTATATCAAATTTACGAAAAGCCCGAAATAGAACTTTTTCAAGTCATCCCCCCCCAAAAAAATACTTTTTTTACCAATCGATAGCTTATGGAGTTTGCTACAGGATATCTTCCCAAAGCTTTTAAATTTCATGTTTTCTTAATTTTTTGCCATCAATCTACAAATGGTCACTCCAGTGACCGAGGGGGAGTAAAGGGTTAAAACACTAAATCAGCTTGGTTTGCAGCTCCACTCTCTTTCCATTTACGAGACGCAATCACTTAGATGACTTTTTTCTTTGAGCTTCATCATGTTTGGTTGTAAGTTCAAAATTTAATAGACAACCATAGTATACAGCTGCAGATAGACTTTTATGGATGTCATAACAAAGAAAAGTCTAATAACGGTGCCAGTGATCAGACAGAAAGTCAAGCAGATTTATGAAATCGGAACAATTCAAAAATTTGGCAACAAATACCTTTTTTAAATCTCAGTGATTTAATCTCGTTCACGCTCTCAGTTTTACCAGCTTTGAACAGACGCAGGGAATTCGTGACGGTTATGTCTTCTGTGAAAGACGTATTCAAAAAACATGTTCATCATTGCTCATCCCTTTAATCTTAGGTATATTAACCGCTGTCACGACTATGCAGCAGAGTAAACTGGCTCAGAAGCAACGGCTTCGAGATCAAAATTTGGCTAGCCTACAACGCGAGCAGGACCGTCACCGCTTCACTATACAGCGAGAACAAGAACTGTCGATAGCTGAGACCGTTCAGCAACACAATATTCTCGCCACATATCTGAACGACGCGTCTGAGTTATTTCTGCCTACGAACTTCACAGTTGATAGCTAGTAAGGTTCATGTTGGTTCACAGTTCGTTGACTAAAGAACATCATCTAGCTGACGTGCGTCGATGACAGAACAATCCTCCGAATTCCGGGCGCCAACCTTTTTCAACCCCGCAGCAATTGAAATCTTTCTTGCATGTACTACGTAGCCCAAGGACGATGGTGATTTAGCTGCAATAAAGAGTAGTGGTGTGCAGGCTAGGCGTTTCTGAAGCTGACTGCAACTGACTTGATCGGGGCTGACTTGACAAGGATTGACGGAGACTGTCTTGAAGGTGGGCACCTTGACTAGGGCTAACTTCACGGGGATTCCTTGACGGATGCTTACTTGAGGTGGGCTCTCTCGCCTCGCGCTGACTTCACAGAGGTTCCTTGGCCGATGCTGACTTGTGGGTCGTTAGCTTGACAGAGGCTGACTGGATCGACGCATCCTTCGAAATACTTCATGGGAGTTCAGAATCTTTTCATTCGTCCGGACTGCGTACACTTTTAATTAATTTCAAATCGAGATCAAAGCATCTTCAAAGGCGGTGAGTGCGTGAAAGTGTGCGCAGTTCGGGAATGAACCAAAGAATGATATTTGAATCTATTTAGATACTTGAGTGAATGTTTACAAGCGATGTTTACAAGCGATTCTAGTTAACCATTAATTTTAGATGACTTCTTTCGATTGATATACAGAAAAAGGTCCTACAATAATAGCAACATTACACATACATAATATATATGTTGTATAGCCATTCAAACACAATGTCGTCAGGCATCATGTTCATGCGCTGGTACGACGAATATTAGTAAATCAAAAATGACGTGAGCGGTGGCTACGATGGAGATGAAACAGCAACAAAATGAGAAAAAGAATCTCAAGTAAGAAGAGGCGTAACTGGAACAAGAACACCAACTAGTTCCAGTTCATGTATTCTTTTTACAAAAAATATTCGGCTATAAAATTTTCAACTATTAAAGTTAGGTTCAAGGAGTCATTCATGTTATCATTTAACACGGATCTAGCACAGAAACGTTATTTTGCATCCATTCCTTGCACCAAAAATTTTTAACAGAGCCATGAGGCCCATTCGATGGACAAATAAATATCATCAAAAAAACCGAACTCATGCGAGTGTCATTAATCACCAGATGACGAAAATCGCACATCGAAAATCCATCAGGAAACTTGTGGTGGACCAAGTCCCACAGACAAGCAAAGGCCCGCGGCATTTTTGTATTGTTCAGCAAATATTCTTGCACCTAACTCAAGTGCAGCTTTAGTACGTTGAACTGCAGCAGTGCAATCAGATTTATTTGCAGCATTACAGAATAACGAAGGAATATGACGGTGAGATTCATTATGTGCTATTTGCGTTCGAGTCATCGTCATATGTTAAAGTACAGTAAGGGGACGCCAGAAATGCCGCACGTTCCATGTAAGTTACAGCAAAAGCGTTCTGAGTAGTTGCGACAGTTTTATATCCTACCCATCTTGGCCATTATTATTCCCTTTGAAGCTATCTTTTCCACTCTCTATCCACTATAAATTTTTTGTTGACATGTTTTCATTTTCCACGGTATACATACTTCGTCCTCTTCTTATAGAAACAGAAACATACCTGATGAAAGCATAGCAGCATCACCGATCAAGATATGGAGAGAATTATTTGAGCTAATAAGCAGATTATAAACGACAAAAAACGTCAACTAATTTTTGTTTATGCATATTTATACAAGTACCAATATGAAACGTTTTTAAACTCAAAATAAGAATGAACTATTTCTAAACAAAGTCAACTGAAATTTGAATGAGTCCGGTATGATTCTTCCTTCAAGTTATCGTTAATATCAGTAAAACCTATACTTTTCATATTATGCAAAATATTTAAGACGTTTGCAGTAGCGATTCACATGTGTCAAAAAGTTTCAGTCCATAGTGATCTACAGTTTGTAGTCCATATCTATGGTAAATATATACGTCTGAAGACAATCAAGTATAATCTTTTCTTACTTTGAGTTATATTTTAAAACAAAACTTTTTCGTACGGACGTTGTTGCATATGACGTGTGTGTTTTGTCTGACTAATATTATTCACATTTAAATAAAGACTATTAATTTTTCAAAGTTTAGTCGAATGAATAATTGGTTTCAATTTTTAAATCAAAGCGAATCAAGTTCACCTCATTTTCAGGTATATCACACATTTATATATATATGTGATAGGAAAGATTCGATGAATAATTAAAGTAATGTCATTACTGGAAAATATACTGAATCGTAAATTTCTATGAGAAAACAATGTGCCAGTATGTTGGTAAAAGTCACTTTCATTATAGAGGAGTACTTTCGTCACATGTGACGCGTTTTTCAGAAAAAAGCATGGTGTGACGAAAATTCACATTTTGGTGGCGACAGTTCCCAAGGAGTACCTTCATCCAAGGAACTTTTGTCATGTATAACCAAAGTGCGTTCGTCATAATGACGAAAGTGCCATAATCCAGTATATTAAATCACCCAAAACGGAGACTATCATTTAGAATATGAAGAGTTATTTCATTTATGCTTCATTTCAATTATGATTGTTGAAAAACACGTGTTGCTCATATTTTTTTTTAATTAAGAAATTAGATCGTTTCAAAATGAAACAAAACACTTGTTATACATACACAAACAAACAGCAGAAGAAAAAACGCTGAAAAATTTTTATCCCATGAAAGAAAAGAACACAAGCAAGCAAAACATGATTTTTGTATTCTGCATCGAAATCAAAAGTGAATAGATGAATAGTTTACATAAAAATAAAAAAAAAGAATAAACAAACAGATATTCTTAGAAAGAGAGTGAGGAAGGAATGGACAAATACATATGGTATCATGCACACACACACACCATCAGTTCGAGTCAGAATGATTTAATTTGCACTGTACAAGAATAACGAAAAACACAGATTTCATATTGGTTTCATGTGTTCAGATCTGCCCATTCACACTAATAATTTATTTCTTTTCTTTGTTACTAAACAGAAACAATAGTTAAACATTCAAGACAAATGCTTTTACGAGTTGATGTTTTAGGACAACTTCTCTATGTTTAACTCTGGTAAATCAGACATGCAATATACCTACTATTTTTCTCTTCTATCACGTGATGATGATGCCACCCTCGTACTTCGTTCATGACGATCGTCACGATAATCCTAAAATAATAAAAAATCACGTTTTAATTTATTGAAAATTATGATTTTCGTTCAACGTACCTTTTTTCCTGGACTTCCTTTCTTCCCATTATCATTGTCTCTTAAAAATGATGCTTTTTGTTGTTCGTTTACCGTATGACTTCTATCATTTTCGGCTGACATTGTTGTTTTAATTCGTTTTGAAGCAGATAGGGTAGCTGATTGTGATGGTGAATCGTTGTCTTCATTTATACTGTTGCTGTTTGATGTTACACCATCTGTTGTATTATTCAATCGCCTCACATTGGATGAAAAATTCTTATCATGACTCTGAGAGCGAATACGTTTTTTCACTTCAGATGAAGTAAGCTCCTAATGAAAAGATATCGGATATATAAAGATGACTGAGAAAGACAGAGAATAAAACTTACGTTTTTCCTATCTCGATGACGATCATTATTACTTTCATCATTTCCTTTTGTTGTTACAATTCGATCACTACCCTGAAATTAAAGCAATTGTACCACTTTAACAATTTTGTAGCTTACACCACAAGGTATGTGCTTCTCAGAAGTTTTTTATTTTTAAAATAAATCTCAGTATGTTTATCACAGTGGACATTTAATACGATTAAAATTATTTTTGGAAACACTTTTCTCACTCTCTCCAGCATATTCAAAAAAATTTTTTCTCTTACGAAAGCTTCGTCTCATTATACGCAAAATAAAGAATATTATTAATCATTTATACAAATCAAATGTTTCTGGTATCAAAAAGCAAAGTTAGAGTTTGAACTATTTCTCCTCTTCAACGCAAAGATGTTATTGAAAAAACAAACATACATACCTTAGAAGAATCACCTCGCCGTTTTTTATCTGGTTGAACTAAAAAACGATATAAAACATGTTATCACTATTGTATTATAATGAAGAATGAATTTAAAAGTAAGCTATAGTACCTAGTTCGGGTGATACAGCTCGACTAGTTTTTATAGTAGACGAATCGATAGTATTTGACGAAGATGAAGATTTTAAACCATTTGTCAAATCCGATCTTAATAAGAAAATATCAAATAGTGAAAAATCAATAAAAGAAGACGCAGTCATATATATACCTTTTAGTTGGATCATCAGTTGTGGTCACATGTCTTGGAGGGGGACGTAATCGACTGGAAAACGAGTCTACTGCACGTGCAGACGAAGATGGAACAGATGTTGTCCTTTCTGCTGAAGTTTTTGGTGAGGTAGTATTGCTATCCGCATCAGCTCGACGTTCTTTATCTTTTGATGAATCAATCATAGGTGCCTGTTGTCGCCTAAAAAACAAGCAACATAAAAATTTAACAAATATCAAAGACATTAAATTAATTACATTCGGAGTTCAGAGATTTATTAAGAAACAGAATTGTTCTCGATTTTTTCCACTATTTCTAAGTGAAACGTACCTGCTATTTGTACTACTTTGTTCTTTAGGTTCTTTTTTCGTATTGACTGTTGCTATGGTCGTCGCATTTGATTGACTATCTTTTTTTTCTGTGTCTGTTCGATGGGAATGATGATGAGATGATGACGATGATGAATGTTCCAAATTATTATTTGTTGTTTTTTCTCCACTATTTGTCAATTTAATTGTACGTGTTGGCTGTTGTTGTTTTGGATCAATATTTTCTGATTTTACTTTTACTTGAGTGTCAGTTGAGGATGATTTTAATTGTAATGGACCACCAGGATTTGAAGATGATGCGGATGTTGTTGGAACAGATGGGCCATGTAGTGTACGATCTAGTTTTACTTTAGCTGCTTGTGCTGCTGAGGATGAGGTATCTGTAGCTCCATTTTTCAGTGCTAATTTGCTTGGACGGTCTATTGAAAGAAATAACACATGAATAATTATTTTTGCGGTTAATGGCAAGGAGCGTACCATGAGTATCTGCAACAGTTGTTATTGCTGTTGTGCTTGTATCAGTCGGTTTTTTAGATGGAACTTGAGCAGAGATAGGAGCGATTACAGTTGTTTTTGGTGCAGTTTGATTTGAAGCAGGTGAATCCGATTTTTGTTTAACCATCGTTGTCGATGTAGATGTTTGAGCGGGAATTGAATTAGTCGATACCGAGGATGGCTGCTGCTTATCACTGGCAACAGACGATGATGGCTTTGTCGCTGAATTAGCTAAGAAAAAAAGACGAAATTAATAATATATCTGCGTTCCTTTGTTAAAAAGTAGTGAAGACTTCATCGAGCCGCTAGTTAGTGACTCGCTTTGAATTCAGTAAAATATTATCAAAATCATAGATAACCGTCTGCTGCCCGTCTCCTTTTCATATACTTTCTTGAATCCAGACATTGAGGAATACTTGATTTTTTTACCTGTTGTCATCCCGTTTGTTATTGTCGGTGTTGTAGAACGTGACTGTTGACCTATAGCCGTTGCAACTGATGATGTTGTTGTTGCAGTGGAGACTGAAGTTGATGTAGTAGAAGTTGCATTGTTGTTAGACGATGAATTTGTTTTATTCGTACTATTTGTTGTAGCTTGTGCAGACGCTACTCTTTCTGACACAACATGGAATTGATTTTCTTCGCACATATCCTGGTATTTCTGAGCTAATCGTCCACTATAACATTTGGCTAATGCAAACAAATCCGGACGTTTATCTTTCTCTGCATTACATATATTTTTAATACGTCTTTCTAATGCTGTATAAAATGTAGTCATCCGAGGATAAATGGGTAGTAGCACCGTTAATACTTGTAAAACATTTCGAATTTGAATATAATCATTAGAATCCAAACAAACAATAAAACTTTTCGCTAGTTTATAATGCCATTTATGACAAACATGACGATAATTTTCATAATCTAATTGCTCAGGTGACTGTTGAGATGTTGTTGATGCTGTTGAACCTATGGTCTTATTTAATGATGATGTGGCCACTGAATTGCGAAATACTGTTAGAAAACCGGGATGATTACCACACTCCTATAAAAAGAAAACATCAAATAAATTTAGATAAATTAGAAGAATAAAATCAGAAATAAACAAATTTTAAACTATTCATTTCCTACTTTTTCATATTTAACTTTGTCCGAATGCCAACTCATAACTGTCTCTAACAAGCATAATAAAAATCTTCCATAACGTATTGCTTCATTTTCACTACATGATGCCAATGAGTAGGATATATCGGAAAATATCTAGATAGGACAAAAACAGCATAATCATAGAAAAGTTTAGTCACACTACTCGCTTACTCTATCATAACAAATAATTGTACTAAAATTTGGTGTAGCCAAATCATGTATTATTCGAATAAATTGTGCACAATACAATGCATCTATTTCACTCAGTAGACAACGAGGAAATATGCACAACTGAAGAAATTCGGTGATTGTTTCCGCTTTTGTTTTATTACCTAAAACAAACATTCCTAGATAAGATGCTAGAAAACATTTTGAATCCGAACTTAATTTTCGTTGACTGCTCAATAATAGTATATAGTTAATAAGCAAGTTTATGATTATTTTGACTTACGATTGTTAAACCAAATATCTTTTTCAACGTCCAGTCTTGCTCGAACACGTTCAACATGTTCTTTTTGTTTTATCAATTCTTCGGCTAATTTATCAATAATAATATTTATCTTGTCTTTTTCTTTACGTCTTTTAGCTTGTGTCTAGAAAAGACAATAAATCACTATACATAATAAAATAATAATAATTGTAAATAATTTTACCAATTCTTTTCTATCTTCGTTTTGAATCATTTCTTGTTCAAGTGCTTGAATACGCCGTTTATATGCTTGCTCTGGTACATACAAATCAGACTTTGACAAAGCCCAAAATGTCAAATAGAATTGAGGACTAAAAAAATGGAGAAAACATAGAGAGTACATAAAATAACAAATATAGAAAAGTTCAAAACATACGTCATTTCTTCCCATGTTCGTTTTGTATGTAACGATTTGACCATATCCAGGATAGGCGACATAACAGTGTTCACAGATTCAATATATTTTTGAGCCTAAAATAGATCAACTAACTAAAGTTTATTTGTTGTTTTTTCAATTCAGAAAACTGTAAAATAGTATTTAGATATTTTTTTTGAACACGACAGTATCTATTAAAAATCGTTCTGAAAAGTGTATGTCATGATTATTTGACGGTACTTAGGTGCATGAGGTTTACATCGTTGACAAATTCGTCAGAGATCATATCAACTTCAGATTGCATTGCTCAGTTTCAAGTATAAATAGTGAAAGTTTCGAAAGAATGCTCAACGGATACTAACCAAAAATGTTTTTTCTTGTGATTTTGTCATGGATTTGGGCATATTATTTTGTTTCAATTCGTCGAATTTAGCCTAAAACATGAAAATCGGTGTTATGAACAAACAATGTAAAGTACTTAAAAAGTATGCACCTGAACATTTAAATTAAATAACGGTCTTGAAATATGAAATGCTGCATCCACTTGTAAATGATATCCAAGTACTAAATCTTTGATTGACGGAAAACTAGTTGAGAAATTTTCACTAGTTAACATATTCGATAAAAATGTGTAAAATTGAACCATCGCATCTTGACACTAAAATATAACAATAAATAATGTAAGAAATAAATCAAAGTATAAATTAATCATGCTATACAATAACTATGTCTTCGATCTCCTTCTCACTAGCATGCCTATCATCGACATACCTGATCATATAGATTTCCAATTAGTTTTAAATGTTCATGTTTTTGTGCTCCAAATTTGAATACGATACAATTTCGTTGTTGAGCAATGATAATTGATAATGGTAAATAAATAGAATTTTCTAAAAGAGCTTCTTTCAATCGTATAGATGGTTTTTTAACATTTCTTGCGGCTGTAAAATTTCCTGCTTCATTTCTCAACAATTCTCCACCGGCTGCTGCATCCAATTGTTCTGCAGTAACAGCTGCTGATATTTCTATTCCACTCATTTTTGTTATGATTTCACGTAATAGATATAAATCATATGATTTTTCCAAAAATAATTGATCATAAATATAATATAAAATAGACGTAAAATCAATTGGATATTTTTTTAACGTATTTGCTAATAATGTACAAATATTTTGAAACCATTGAGATGGTGTGGCATTATCACGACTCATTTTCCCATCAAGATTATTCGATGAGACTGATTGATTTGATGTTGTAGAAGACACCGGTATTGTGGTTAATGTACGTAATATCATATAGCAAACAACATCGTAGGACAATGGAGATAAATATTTCAATGCGTCAATAATTACATTAATAAAATTATCATACCGTTGAACTTGATCAATTATCTAAAAAGAAAATATAACTTAACGCACACCATTTCAGTTGATATCATAGATTATCTCGTACAATGCCATAATTTTTTTATACATAAGAAAACAATTGAACTTACGCAATATAATATAATAGTTGGATTGCAATGTGTAATTTTTGCTATTTGACGACTAAACGTTTTAACGTTATCTTTTGTAATACGTCTAAAAAATTATAATATATTAACAACTAGCAATGGTTGGACATTAGATGGATAAAAAACTGGCTGTTTACGCGAGCTCCCTTCTATACGAGACAGATTTTATCGAATATAAAAAAATACCGATAAAAACCAAATGTTTTGTACTACCTATTGTGTGTACATATTTGTTTTCTTCTGGAACTCTTGGAATCCAAGACATTATTTGCGAGAAAAATATCACCAGTCCGACATATACTACTCTAATTCTTTGGTATTTTTAACGTACATTTAACTAGAAAATATTCTTCTTACCTCAATATTGCTTTTGATTTTTCTGCTACTTCATTTTTGACTTGCATTAAATGAGTGGATAGTTTATATGTATCTTCTTGCCATTTTGAATACAATTTATATCGTACATCAAATGGCAATAATTTCAATAGATTCCATAATTCAATGGCCATACATCCATTCATATCCATTAAAGACAACGATGGTAACAATAATTCATCAATAATGAGTAATAAATTTTCATAAAGTTCATCGGAATCTCCACCACCAGCATCTAATTTTGATAGATCATCATATTTTGTTTTCATGATTGTTGTGCATATACGTATTAATTTCATATATAATAGACGATCTTGACAATATGGACCCAAATGAAGCAATAGTGGTAGTAATTGAACACGAAATTCATTAAATGTGGACACTTGAGTCAATCGAGAATCAGACATCGTATATATAACATTCAATGGATATAATATTTTATAACTGAGAAATTTTTTATTTAAATCAGCATGACTAAAATAAAAACAAACATATTAAAATACAATTGTAGAATTTATTAATGAAATTTACAGATAGTACCAAAATAAAAGCTCTAAAATCATCTATTCTGATTTTTGGCTAATTAACTGTTATAATAGTACATCTGTATACTTTGTGCTTGCTATATTGACAAAATACTGAAATGCCTGACTACTGGTAGAATGACTTTAAATTTATCTTATAGGATGTCTAGTAACACACTCTTGATTATGATACATACGTTTTATATAATGGATCAATAATATAATCTATAATTTTACAAAGAGTTGTATATATTTCTCTGTATGACGTACATGCACATCGAGGTAATAAATCAAATATAATATTAACATTTTTTAAATCACCAACGGCTAATAGTGAACGTAGTAAATTTAATACTTGATTATTTGGTTTCTAAATAATAATAATTTATACACATGTTAAAACTGAAATCTAGTTACACATATAAAATACGGCATACCAATGAATTTTCTCTAGATTTTGTATTTGAGTTGTTATTATTATTATTATTATTATTATTATTATTATTATTATTATTATTATTATTATCAGCTGTTATTGTTCCCAATGAAACTGTTGTCTTTTTTGAAGAACGAGCTTGTTCTAATTCTTTGTTGTATGTATCAGTAAGTTCATTAACGGATGGATTCAACTAAACAAAGTAATGGGAAAAATGTTAGTAAAATGTAAACCATTAAATGACATAAACTACTCACATGTGGTAACAATTGGTCCAGATCAGCTAGATTATTGGATATGAGCATAGATGCTAATAAATATAAGGATTCGGGAGTTTCATCTTGATTCTAGCAATAAATAAACATCTTTGTATGAAGAAAATCGAAAACAAAAGAAATCTTTTGTCACAACAATGGTTCAGTAGTTTCTTGATAATTTTAATAAACATACTTTATATGTTTGAAATTTAAATCCAAGTAATTGACATATTGTTTTGGGATCGAAATGAAGTAGTTTTAATAATTGTATAAATATTTGTGAGTGTTTTATCTGACACTCGAATGATTCTAAAACTAAATCTAATATACGATTTGGATCTATATCAAAATAGCCGATTAATGCCATGATTCGATCATAAAGGATATCAGCTGTTGTCAATGTTAAATTAAAATTTTGATTTAATTCTGTTAATGCTTTGGAAAAACCTTCACTTTCTTCACGTAATAAATTAAATTTTTGTTGTTTATAACTAAGAGAAATAGAAGAGAAAATGAGGAATAAAATATTTCTATACAACTGAAAGATACAAACATACAATAAACGTGTTTTAATTCGAACATATTTTTGACTAAAATTTTCACGATTAACAATTAAATCAAGAGATTCTAATGTTTCGATTTCTAGGCGTTCCATTAATAACGATGTTGACACAACGTGCTAAAGTGGAAAAAACAATCTGAATGTATTAATCTACTTTTCAACTAAAAAAATTTAAATTTATCATTGATGGGGTAATACATTACATTTCATTATAGGTATAATAAGATGAACAGCAATCTCATGTTTAAATGTATCAAAGATACTACGATATTCAAAAATCCACACTGCGTGTGGATGAGTCAAGTTATTATCGTATATAAAAAATAAAAATTAATTAAACATCCAACATCATCAACATATAATAACTTTTCTTTGTTTATTCAACTTCGATTGGTCTTAAGTCTACCATATTTCAACAGTATTAGCCATTATGTGGTATTCACTTGTCTTTCTGAGAAGTAGTATAAAAAAAGTGTTTATTCTTGAACACATGCTAATAACACACAGCGACATGTAGCGAAAATGTTTAGATATGTTAATATCTCTCATAAATTTAAATACGAAATAATTTAAAGTTGCTGTTGTTCTCACTATATGCAAACCAATCTTTCCTGAGCAGAAAAATCAATAGTAATTCTAGACGTACCGTAAAAGAGTAGACGTTAAAAACTATACAACTTACTTCTGAACTGTTGATTAAATGAAAAAATTTTTGTTTGTATGTTTCTTTTGTGGTTTCATCCGCTGGGAAAATTTCAATATCTAAAGCAATAATAAACAAAGGGTATGAATATAAAGCGAATGATGAAAATGGATCATTACCAAGTGTAGCAAAAATATCGGCTAATATTTGTCCAATTGAACCATTTGGTAATGTTTCCTAGAAAAAATAAACATATTATTCTATCCTGGTAGCACAGGGAGAAGAATTACATTACCTGTAGTTCACTAAATGCTTTAACTGTTGTTTCCACTGTCAAATTTCCGTTCAGACACGACTTGCATAGATTTATCAGTAACTCCTTCATAGCTGAACATAATAAGAGTATAAATGTATTATGAAAGAGTACAAAGGTATAAAAATAATTAACGAACCTAATTCAGCTTCGAATTTATCATGTTGCTCTTCTAACAATTTTTTGTATAAATTATCACTAAAACAAATAAAAATAAGATGTTGCCACTAATCAGGGAAAGTAGCAGTAATAAAAACTATGATAACTCCTTAGGATTTTTCTCACCTTTTCTTCTCCAAAAAATCAATTTTAGCCGTTTGCTTCTGCACTGATGCTACTAAACTAATAAATGAAAGTCTACCTAACTCTTCCCGTGAAAACAAGATGCGCATAAAAAACGTAGCAACGGCAAAAAGTTCATAAAAACGATTTACATGTACGAAAAGTGCTCTTTCGCATAAAATTGTGAAGTAGAATCGTCTGGAGTAATTTCGGTCATTAATAGTAAGCGATTGGAAATTGATCAGAACTAATTAATCTTAATGAATTTTAACATAATTTTTACATCAATCGGTAAAAAATCAGCTATATGTATAAAAATTATTTTTCTCCGGTTATAAATGACTCAGCTATCAGAGATAGATTGAATAAGTTGTTGTTTTTTGACACTGACCAAAATTACCCCAGATGGCTCTACTTCTTTAGTTTGTATCTACAGTTTGTAGGTTGACACTTATACATTTGTGTTTATAACAATGTAATAAACCAGCTTTTGAAAAATACATAGTACTTTGCTGGTTTTGGGTTTATGAGTAACATAAATCCTCTCCTCCTCCTGTTTCTAAATAATATGTTTTAATTAGTTCTTCTACCGGTGGACAGACTTAAACTGTTTAGTACCTCTCTTAACCTAAGCTCTTTTTTTTTGTACAAAAAAGTTTACCAAAAGTCGAAAAACAAATTACATGAAACGAAAGCAATCAACAGCATCAAGATATACACTCATTCATTCATCCACACTCTTCATACACGATCTCACATGTTGAAAACATAAAGATGATGCACACAACGACAACTAATAGCTAAATTTTCCCATCATGAATATGCATGGATATGTTGATTTTAATAATATAAAGATTCTATCCAAAATATTAATTTCATTTTAATCTTGAATCATCATTGAGACGCTGTTGGAAGTTCAGAGGATGTGGTTCAACCGGGATCAGCGATGAAATATGTTTTCCTTTTTGAATTTGAAAGAAACTTTTTGACCGAATTTACCATAATATCTGCTGTGGTTGTACATTTAAACATTAGTATAATGGATCAACCCTCTTATTCTTAACATGGTACCATCATTTTATTGTGGTCGTTTTAAATTTTTTTCTTCGAATAACACCTTATAGTTTTACTGTTTTTTTTCATAATTCTTGATTTAGTAGATTCAACATTAGTGTGTACGTGTGTGTGTATCGGTTGGATAACAACAACTCATAGTAGCAGCAGCATTCTACACGGATGTGGCACATTTTTATTTACGTTGGAATAAATGAAAGATATTTTTATAATAAAATTCACTTACAATTGTGTTTTTCCATCATTAGACCAATTTGAGATAGCTGAATGAATAACACCAGGTATATCGTTCAATTTTGTAGTTGTATTTGACATTTTTAGAAAAAAATACTAATAATTGGTTGCACGAAATTTTTTTCAATATATAAAACGACTAAGCAGAGAATTTTATTGTTCACTCTGATATGACATTCAAAGAAACAACCAGTGTAATGACGAATAATAATATTGGGATATTCCGTGTCCATATTTTTGTTTTCGCCATCATTTCGGCTGCCATGCCTCCAATCTGTTCGAACATAAGTGCATAGGTAAGCTGAAATCCAGTAGATCGCTACTATCGATGGATCATAGTATTTGCTAACCCGCATATAACCAAAGCGAAAACTTTTAAAAGCTTCTTCGGTCAAAACCGATTGCAGATTCATCTTCTCCATATAGTCGATTATCTTGTACGCGATAACTTCTGGATAAGGGTATTTCAGAAAATTTTTTTGACATCGGTTTCCCTCTCTAGTTGCATACAGTGACTTTTTCGAAAATGTTTGACCAAGACCATGAGAAAAAAATTTTCTGAAGTACTCCGATCCATAAGTTATCGCGTACAAGATAATCGAGTACGGGGAAGACGAATCTGCAATCGGTTTTGACCGAAGAAACTTTTAATATGAGTATCTAAAGATCTAACAATCTTGTTAGGATCCGTCTTCTTGATGTGTATGACCACCGTTTATTAACAAACAAAAGAGTTATCCTTTAACAATAACGCTCGATCTATTTATACGCGCAATAATCTTGAATATTCTTGCGCAATAACCTTGACCAGAGATGGATAAGTCAAAGTCTGGACTGATACGCTTTTTCACACGGACTGGGGCTGGGACTGAAGGCGTAAGAGACGTGGACTGGACTGGGACTGAAAGACATAAGAGACGTGGACTTTTTTCACGTATGTGACCGAACTTCATTAAACATTTCAGTTTATATTTGAAAAAAGATGAAAAGAATAAAGAAATTGAATTCACTCTTTTATCTTGTTACCGACCCTATAAAAAAATATTAATATGGCAGAGCCTGCTAACAAGCCTGCACAGTCAGTTTTATCAGGCAAAATTCTCAAGAGCAGACCTGTGCAGGTCTACAGGGAACATCGTGCAGACCCTGGAAGGCCCGCAGCAGACGCTGTCACATACCTCTGCAGAGAATGCAGCATAGGTATGTGACAGTATCTGCTGCGGGTCTGCCATGATGTTCCCCGCAGACGAAGTGGTCGGTTAAGATTAGCTCTGATCAAAACTTTTGATCAGTTACTTACAATCAAAAGACGGCTGTTTTTTTCCGCCGATTGATTGGTTTCTTTGCACTAAATGCTTGTCTTCCTCTAGGCACTGGACACTAGTTTTCTCAAAATTATGTTAAGACATAATGGCTTCTAATAAGGATAATTTAACATCAAACAAAACACTATTTTAAAAGTTTTTGTTGATCTGAAATATGATCATAAAAAGGATACGTGGAGTGCAATATGCACGGTTTTTTCGACATGATTCGTCACTTTCGGAAAAATCGATTTTTGATAAAAAAAAAGTCCTACCTCAGAAACAATTACTCGCTGATAAAAAGAAGAAAAAGCATGGTAGTGGAAAACAATGTATGCTGTGGTCGCTATCGGACTTAAAACTTAGTGGACTGGGACTGATTCGGACTTAGACTCTAGTGGATTTGGACTGGCCTGGGAGTGAAAAAATACTGAACTTGCCCATCTCTGACCTTCACCACAGTCTTGCACGATAAGCTTGAATATATTCGTGCGCAATAACTTAGACTATATTCTTGCGTAATAACCTTGACTATGATCTTCTTCCTTATGGCACGACTCTAGTACGTGACATAACAAATCTCAATATCTAAAGATCTAATAATCTTTCCCAATCATTAGTTTTTTCCAAAAAGCATACCCTATTGTATTTTTTACATTTGTCGCGCTACGGTTGCTCCGCTTTAGAACATCGATTCAAACTGATACTTGATGCAATTTTCTGTAATTGCAGGAAAAACCAGATGTCAGTTTTCTTCAAGAGTATGACGAATAAAGTTAAGTTTTACATAGCAGTTAGACAGTGATCAGCGGTGTTTGCAAAAAGCACTGAAAACCATTTCGCCATTGAGATATGCGAAAAATGTGAGGTGGCTTAAAAAAAGCTGTTAAAATCATACCAATGACGGGATATGAAAATACCTAACGAATACATCTATAAATAAATTAAATCATTCATAACTCGGCACCCAACTCTTTTAGACAGGTGTTTAATTTGAATGCAAAGAAGTTATTAAATTATATGGAAGGTGCCTTCAATGTGGTTCATTCTTTACTTAGCATATGGTAATAATATATTTAACAAAATTGATGAAATCTATCGTTTGTTTTCGATTGTAATCATTATGTTTTTATTGTAAAGTTATTTTGAATATAATGTTTTTTTGTAATTTGATTGATATAATCTAACATGAAGAAAAGAAGAGTAGACAACGTGCCTAGACATTTCTGAACATGAGTCGCTCCATTGGACAATATATATTACTAGTAATCTGTATGTGATCTCATATGTGTAATGTATGAGTAATGAATTGAATAGGTAAATCTAAGAAACTCTTACCAAATCTAAGATTCATGTTCAGTCTTTTTTCCTCTTATTAATGTGCATACTTAGAATGTGCGCGTCAGAATTGTTTGATGCGCTGATGCGTTTTACAGAAAATGAAAATTTTGCCAATACAAATAGGATACGTCATATCCGGATGGAACATTGCCTATTCCCGATCTTATAAAAGCAGAAACTTTACTCGAACAAGGCAGGTATCGCACAAACGAGCTGTCTGTACCAAGTTTCGAGAAGAAAACATTAAATGTTTTGTGTATATGTGTAGAATAGAAGAGAATAAGACCTAGCAAAGATATCTCTTCAGGTGATTTTTCTACAACATAAATCTGCAAAAATCTTTGCAGTAACCTTGCAGATTCTGCAAATGGTCTCTACAAATTTGAAGCAGGTATGCATTGCAGATGTGCCAAGATTTGACCAAAGATCTGATGCAGATCTGCAAAAAATCTTTACAATTTCTTTGCGGTTCCTTTGCAGAGAAACAGCAGATTTTTAGTTTTTTTTTGTTTGTATATTTGTATCAAAACATCTGAAATATATGAAATAAATGTATATCCCCCACAGTCCCATTCCACACTGAAAAATCTGCAAAGAATCCGCAGAGAAACTGTAAAGATTTTTTTGCAGATCTTCATCAGATCTTTGGCCACATCTTAGCACATCCGTATTGTTTTTTGCAGATCGAGTTTTTTTGAGTCTATCTCACTGTCGATAATCTAAGAAGAACTGGGGGATTTCTTTACCTCATTTTTTCTATTTCTTATGGGCATTCATATTGGATGGATTCTATGTGAACGAGAGTTGATAGAACGTCACATTTTGTAATCATACTGGCGTTTAAGAATCAGTCCAGCAAGCTGTAGTTCAAAGGTTCATTTAAGCCAACTAAGGCTATTGAGCAAGACAGGAGAAAAGGGCAACGGCGAGGTCTGTAGATTAGATGCAAGTACTCACATTTTGTTATTAAATTATACATCGTGAACTGTATAAGATTGAAGAACATGTAGTTTTACAGACAATGTTGTTCGGTTACAAAAATAATATTTTATGGTAATTACTCATCTATTTAGGATGTTGAACAAATCGTATACTATACCAGGTTATTTTCAGCTTCTGCTTCCAATCTTATTCTGTTTGTTTTCGTTCTGTGATTATCAAAGAAGGTTCTAGGAAAAGAACAGTAAAATTCTTGTAAATCTCTACCTGTATTCAGGTGTAAATACTTCAAAAATTGCTTTTTTCGTGTTCGTTCGAAGGTTATTCCTCATCTGATGAGTTAACTCGTTTGGTTAAGTTATGTTTATATTTGTATTGTGATATCCACTTCTTAACTTGATATGGTCATTTTTCATTTTATCCTGTCAATATTCTTTTTTTGTATGAATTCTGAATTATATTTTGCTTCGTAGCTCATTTAATAAACGAGTTCACGACAAATCATCGAGAGTATTTTCATCGAACGATATTTCGTCGCATAAGTGTACTATTGCATTTTCCTAGATAACTGAACGATAACCACAAAGTAAATAAAAGTACACTGGCTGTAAGTAGCTTGAGTTGAAGGACGGTTTAGGAAATGTAAAAAGTTAATAAAGCAGTATATGTACATATGTCATATTGTTTGTCTCCCTTTTTACATGATTTATGCGATACGAGAATGTTATGTCAAAAGCAAAACATTCTATCACTTTCATAAATGTTCTCCGGGGTAAAATTTGATTATAAGTATGGCCGGTTTTTTATCAACAACTAAAGGCAAATGTTTACTTATTATGTAATGTTACATGATAACTATTATATATTTGACGTTTATGTAACTGAAAAAACAATGTCACATGTCGAAGAATTAACTTACATTTCCTAAACCGTCCTTCAACTCAAACTACTTACAGCCAGTGTACTATTATTTACTTTGTGATTATCATTCACTTATCTAGGAAAATGCAATAGTACGTCAATACGACGAAATGTCGTTCGATGAAAATACTTTCGATGATTTGTCGTTGCCCCTTAATAAACGCATATGAGATCAATTCAGAGGTTGTGTTGAAAGAGGAGTAGTTAGTTGCTTTTCACTAAAGCTTTTCACTTGAAGAGCTTCTGCCAAGTTTAACTTAAGCCGGATATAAGGCATCTTGGAATCGAAACGAATTATAAATGATGTGTTAATAACTCTGAAGAAGACTTCTTCTAGACGAGAAAATAATAGTCTCTACATATACACAAATTACTCTGAAATAACACATGTGCTTGTTGCTTGCTTTCGTTATACTATTAACACTATATATTTTTGTAAAAATAGTTTTTTTGATTAATTCTATCACATAAAGAAAAATAAAATGAAAAAATACTTTGATTCTTTAATCCAGAAGAAAATAATGAGTCTAGTTTAACTATACAATATGAGTACAATACATCACACACACACAAACACGCTTTTTATTCAACTTTCTATTATTAGTCATCTTGTTTAAGTTTTTTAACTTTATCTTCACCCTCTCCATTATCTATTTGATCAATTGATCGTTTTTGCTGTTGTTCACCATTTGTTGTTGGTTTCTTATGACGAATATTTAATGTGATATCTTTTGCTTGTTGAACTGGAGCAGGAATAGCAGTAGTAGAAAGTGGTTGTCCGGCAACAATATTTCTGGCTGCTTCAATTAAATGTTCTTCTCCAATTGATGATTTAACATCATCTCGTTTAGATTCTATTGATGGCAACAATTGTTTCAATTCTTCAATATCTTCTGGTTTCAATGTTGAATCATTTAATGTATAATGAATAAATTTGATTGCTTTGTCAAAATATTCAACAGATTCAGCAAATTTTTCTATTGTCTCATAGATACAACCTAAATGAGAAACAGAAAACAATTAACTTTTTGAGAAAGAATAAACACCAATGAACCTTCCACGAAAGATTTTCTTATTGTACTAAAGAGTAAATTTCTGATGCTTGATATCGAAGTGAATTTTCTAGAAAACGCTAGAGGATTGTTACTTCTACTCTCGCAAAAAAAAACAATCATGTAAAAGAGAAATTTTATTAAGATCGTATCTGAATAGTCTACTTTCTCTAGTACTCAAAATATTCATTTAGCTTGTGGAAGTGCTTGAATTTTAATATCTCTTATTGTACCTAATTTATAATATGATTCAGCTAGTAATCGATTCTTTTTTTCAGCCAAATTTTCTTGTAAATCGATTGCTTCTTGTATATGTGCGCGAGACGAATCATAATCTCCATTTTCACTACAAACTTCAGATAACATCATATGGATATCTGCTAAACGACATTTAACATAATCTGAATGATTATCATCACTTGATGTTTTACGATATATCATATGAGAACATTCCAAAATTTCAAAGGATCGTTGTAAATCTGTCATATTATTATCATCTGGAAGAGGATCAGCATCATCGTCATTTTCTTCCATTGGATTATCTTTCGTTTCAGTTTCCACTTTTTCTGGCATACTTTCATCACCATTCTCGGGTACATGATTATTCGTTACAACCTTCTCATTTTCTTTTGTATGGATACCGTTCGTTTTATCATCAACCGTTTTTTCATCTACACCGTCAACCGTTTTTTCATCTTTACCATCAACCATTTTTTCATCTACACCATCAGTCTTTTCCTGCTCGTCTTCATCACTCGATTGTTCATCATCATCATCATCATCATCAGCACCAGATTCCTCTAAATGAAAAAATAATTTTTTCTTTAAAATAGTATGTCAACGAAAACAGAAAGGAAGGAAAAAGCCAATTTAGTACAAATTTGTCCGAACGAAAGCCAGAGGTGCAGAATCTACCCGTGAGATTGGAAAATTTTCCGCGACAAAAAAATTTTTTCAAAAAATTTTCCCAACATAGTTTCTTTTTATAGTATATTTACAAAACGAAGTTCTAATTTTTCAAAAGTTTCCCCGAATCAATAAGTTTTCCCCCAACGACCGTAGGAGCAAACAGGTAGATTTTGCAGCTCGGACGAAAGCTGTCAGATGAAATTCAAAGTTGTTTTATCCTAATTAACTCGAATGGAGCTTAAAGGTGCTTTTCATGAATTTCTTTAATATAATCCTAAATGTGACTTCGATAAATATTAGCGTGACTTTAGTCGTTTTTTGAAATATTAACGGCGTGGCCAGCTAACTCTGCTCCCGTAACAGAATTTCGTGACGGTTTGTCATCATTTTGTTTTGCCTACAATTCCTAAACTGACTGCTGTGTAGTGTCGCGGAACATCTTAAGTTGAAGAGAAAAGTCTGGTTAACATTTTATGACGTTTTTCAGCCTTAAAACCTATATTAAATTCGATCAAAAAATTAATTCGAAAAAATTAAAAACTGGTGTCCAATGTTTAGGTTACATCTTTTTAACGATACATGTTGTAAGGCTGAAAAACGTCTTAAAATGTTAACCAGACTTTTCTCTTCAACATAAGATGTTCCGCAACACTCCACAGCAGAAATTGTAGGCAAAACACAATGATGACAAACCGCTACGGAATTGTGTTACGGTAGTAGAGTTAGATGGCCACACCGTTAATCTGCCTGTACTAGTCTAAAAGATCCTACCTTGAGCAACTGCTTCACCAAGAACTGTTTGTTCACCAAGTGCAAGGGCAAGTAATGCTTGGCCAAAATAAAAGTACGGTTCGGCTAATTCAATATGTGTGTCACTATTATAAACATGTACTCTTAAAACAAAAGAAAAGCAAACTTGACAGTAAAATCTAATATTCTAATAACGAATGCATCGAATAGAAATAAAGACTCGTATCACAATTCTTGGTAGGACGTTTTTTCTTTCCTTTCAGGTCTTTTCTCCACACGTTCATCGTTCAAATCTACTGTTTTGAACGAAAAACTTGCTCCAATACGATGCTGATGATAAAGAATAAGAAATATACCCGAGATTTCTCTTTTATTTTTAACTTTAGGTGTCTTATTTACAATCAGCGATTTATCTGTCAGACGACCATTGGTTTTTCAGTTTGCCATGTTGGAATTAACAATTGATTTGAGAAGAAAAGAGCATTTCAGAGAGGAGCCCCTCCGAACATTTATCTGTCCCTTCAGTAAATGAAATCTAGATAAATCACTGCTTACAATCGATCGCATGCTTTTGATAACTGATCACAAGCTGATTGATAATTATGTAGCAATACATCACGTTTTCCCGCTTTGAAATAATTATTTGCTTCTTCGTCGCTAAAGAACAACAAACACAAACAACATTGTTTTAATGATGAAATAAAACAAACAATCTTACGTACTGGATTTCAAATTTTTCAGCCATGATCGATGAGTGACAACAAAAAAAAGGTGATCAGATCTATAGCAGTTAACAAAACAAACAGATATATTTAAAGTAAGAAAAATGGTTAACAATGATATGCAACCACCGAATATGGGCTTTTTATGTGAAACATTTAAGTATTCAGTAATTAATTCAATAAATAATTTTAGTATTCAGTAAGTAATTCAAAGAAAAGAAACAAAATGTTCATTGTCAACATCAGTCTTTGCTCGTTCCAATAGAAACGCTTTTATGTGTTCTAAATTTGGTTACTATATATTCTATCTACATGACTAAGTTTATTCATCTCTTCTACACTAAAAACCAGCAAAACAAACGATTCCTTTAAAAATCAAAAATCGTTTTATACTGACACACAAAATACAGCTACTGAAACACAGCTACTTAAAAATAGCTGCTTTTTTTTGGTTTTAAAACGCTATATGTAAAGAAGCAGAAGAGAAATGTAAATAACAACAAATTTTTCTAGTATCTCTAAAGCGTCAAACAATATGAGAAAAATAAAATGACTCGTAAAATATTGCGTAATTTCTGGTAAAAAAGTAACAGAAAAAGAAAGGCACTGTTTTTCGATAGTGTTTTTTCAAGCGAATGTTCACTATTTTTAGATTGTCGGTGGCTTTTTGACTAGTTTTAGCAGTCTCATCACACACAGAAGAAAGAAAAACAGAAATAAAGGGGAGAGCGAGTGGGTAAAATGAGATCGTTTGAGTAAATACATACAACAAAAAAAAACAACTGTCAGTTATTATTTTTGTTCGTAAAGAAAGCCATTTTTTCCCTCAAATTGCTGCGAGTTCTACGATATTCTTAACTTCATTCTCATCTTCTGTTTTCTCTTCCTGCGCTACTGTTTTCACTTTTTTTGTTGCTATTGTCTCTTCTTCTGTATCATTATTCACGTGAGCAATATCACGTTTACCATGACCATTAGTTGTTTTTTCATCTAATTTTGCGTGATCTCTGTCTCTATTCAGGGTTGCCAATTGATCATTATCTTCTAGATTCTTTTTACTATCAGCAACAGAATTTGGATGTTGTTGTTTACTTTCTTTTTCACTGATAGACTGTTGCTCTTCATTAGTTCCGGTTGTTGATGTCGGTTCGTCCGTTGTTGATGGCGTAAGTGTTGTTAAATCAGCGTTTGCCGATGAGGTATTTTCATCAACCGTTTCGTCAACAGTTGCAGCCATATTCTCTGCAGTGTGTTTTGATGTTGAACTTTCTCGATCGGATTCTTTGGCATTTTCATCGGTTGACACTGGCAAGTCAGTTGTCACAACATTTTGTTGTGGTTTTTGTTGTTCTTCTGAAGTAGACATCAGTTTAAAAATAAAGAACTATTTATATTTAAATGTAAATTATGACAGAGATTGTAGATTACACAACACTTCCTCTCAGCGTATAGGAAAAAAGAAAAAGAAATAATTATTAACAGAGAAGTAACAAGTACTAATGTTATATCGCTCGAGATATTCTACCATCATTTCCTGGCGAAACCATTTCAATGTTCATTGAAATCCTACAAAACTTGATCCTCCAGCAGTCCATTTTGTAACTAATTTATGAAAAATTTCAACAGAATATTAGTGTTCAAGGATAAGAGAAAATTCGCTTTGACATACCCTTGATTCATTCAATGAATCACCTTAGAAAGATAAATATTCATTATGTACTAATAGAGGTCGCATGCAGAAAGTATCATTTTGATTCAGAAAGGAAAAATATTTTATTGTCTTCAATTTTGTCAATCTGTATTTTTGGTCTAAGGTAAACATAGCATCATCTCCGCAATTAGCGCATTTATAATATAGTATAAGATTCACGGTGGGATTATTTGTTTATAAGTTTGTTTACATACCATCCGAGTACTGAATGATTCATCGCGAAATAGACTGAGCACGATAAGAAATCGGGTGAATTTTTGCAAGGTATCTTTAAATATTTGTTTAAAAAAACTGTGTAAATCTTAATTTAAAAATGAAAAACAGAAGGAAACTATTGTCGGAAAATAACGCATCAATGCATTAGCAATGGGAGCGGCGAATTTCCCTCATACAGATGAATATACGACCACATTGTTTCTTTGTTCTTTGGGTATATAACTGCACTATTAATGAAGCTCCTATTCAGTCAGAAATACTATCTATTAGAGTCAGTCGATCCACTTTTTGTTTTCTTTTTCAAATCTTAACGGCAAAATTATTTTTTGTTTCTTTCAATTAATTTTTTTCTTAATCTTTAATAATCGTAAGTAGAAACTTCATATATTTAACATAATGCTGCTACTGCTCTAACATTATTCGTGAGATATAACGACTATCTTGTTGCTTTTCGAGATTAAATGTAGTGGAAACGTAAATAAATAAACTACCTTATGTGCAAGAAGGAGCCGTTGTAGAGTTGTTCTTGAAAGAGTAATTAACTAAATAATTGTAGAAGAAATAATGTGAATTACGTTTCTCATTGTAGAACGAGAAAATCTTACTCTCGTTCTGTTCGTTTTCTTGACTATACTGAATTGAAATTGTAAGAATTCGACAACTACACGTAACGTGTTACTCGTCTCATATAAACTGTCGTAAATACGCATGTTTGCTTTCTCTAGGTCGCTAATGGACAACATACAAGAGACTGAACAGCAGCAAGGATTAGAAAATGGTGTTAGTGTTCAAAAAACAAAATTAGACATAGTTGCAGAAAAAAAACCACTTGAAGAAAAGTCGGAATCTGTTGAGCAACAAGTAATTGATAAAAAGGAATATAATGATGGTGAGGAAAATGGAAAAACAGATTATATAGAGAAAGAAGAAGCGGAATCGGTTCCATTAGTGAACAATATAAACGATGATAAAGAAGAAACTGAAAGTTCAGTGCCAAAAACTGAGATTAATCAATCCGAATCTGCCGTTAATGGTAATATTAATGATGAAAATGAATTAGTCAATAGCGGTTCTATTGTACCAACACCTCAGCGAGCAACAACACCTCTCAAAGAAAATGTTGGAGAAATTAATGGTGATGATTTGACAGTAAATGGTGCTAATGTGATTAACGGTAGTAGTGTACCTTCATCAAAAAGAGACGTGCAGGAATTAGATCAAGACAACGATAATGATGAAACAAAGAAAAAAATTAAATTTAATGATGAAGAAAAGAATGGCGAGGTCTCCTCTACAGCAAGAAATAATAATGATGAAGCTGTTCAAGTTTAGGGGTAAGTTAGTTAAACTAGACAGTTACAGATATGTAGCTGTGTAAATAGGCCAATATCATTTTGACATTCGAAGACTTAAAAAGAGATTGATGTATACGAATTTTCAAAGCAAAGATTTTCTCTTATTCAAACAATTTTGAGGCATTGGTATTAGTTGTTATTCGATTCTATGGCGTAGGAGAGAACTTTAAAAAAAACGCTTTTTAACAACGAAAATGGACTGTGTTGAAAGAACTGTTCAGATTAACTTAAATAGTTTGCTGTATTTCTTTTGTTTTAGGTTGATTGTCACAAAGATTAAAATTAGGAAACATGAGTGGAAGGAATAACGTTATTTCTTCCTTTTTTTTGTTCTGAGCTCTATTGTATCAACATTTCTTTTTCTTTTTGTTGTGGTGTCTGTCTGCGTTACAAGGACTATGTGATCCTTCTTTTTCTCACTTAGGTAATAAAATGCTCTTTTTGGTCTTCAGATATATCAGCTGTTGAGGTTATTTTTTATTGTACTTTTCTCTGATAGTCTTTTGAAAGATCAGATATTTTTGTACTTATTTTTTGACTAAACAATGCTTGTTATTGTTCTTGCACTCCCATGTGTATGTGTTTGAATCTCATTTCTCTTGTATGTCTTTGCGTGAAAACAAATAAAATATTAGTTGTGTGATGAACACTATAACGGGAAAAAAATTTTGTGATTTTGTGGACCATGGGTTTAGCCCGTAAAAGAAAATAAATAGCATATAAAAGTCGGAAACTAGTAAGAAATGTTTCTTTTTCACCCTAAAGCACTCTTAGTATGTTGTAAGGATTTTTTTCTAAAGAATGTTTCAAAAAACGCAGAACAAAGAACTAATATATGATTTAAATTACTTACAAGTGCTGTAAATGTCTTAACCTGTCTGTCACAAAGTCGTGTTTATGAAACAACGTAATAAGAAATCTAAATAATATATTTTAAATGAAAAAGTATGGGCATAGGGAATATTTTTTCAGGGCGAAGTTCAGGCTTCTGATGTCTCTGATGCTAATGAAGCTATCAATAAACCATCAACCTGAAAATTTGAAATTATTCCAATATCTGACTCAGCATGATGATTACTATAAATCCCGGTTAGCTTCAGGAACCTTCGATAAACATGAGGCAGTGTCAATGGATTCACCTTCTGCTAAATATGTCTGATATTATATACTACTTTGGTCTTGAAGAAAACCAGGATATGTCGCTTGATCATGAAGAAGATCAAAAAAATATTCGGAATATTATCTTTGAATTGTGCGAAATAGCACGATGTTTGAAATGATTTTTCAGACATAGCACTTTAAATATGCGACCGACAAAAGATTGCTCTATTGTAATGTTTAATTCCTTATTCTTCAGTTAATCTGACATACAATATTTCATCGTTCTCATCTGTTTCCCTCTGATCATTTCCATTAACTAGGATAATGAGATCAATTGACGGATCCTTTAAACAAATGTCAGCTATAGCCGCATCTTCCTCTTCGTTTGTAACCAGTTCTTTTATTATGTACAGCTCATTTTCGACCGGTTGCATCTGTTTACGTAATTTGTTTGATATTTTTAGCTTTTGTTTTTCTATGGGTGGGAAATATCTTTGTTGTTGTTGCGGTGACTGTTGGAAGCGTATCGTTGGAAATGAGACTGTGTTCGATTGAATTTGTTTTTTATCGGTCCGATTACTCACTAATGATTGTAGTGTTGGATGTAAGCGAACGTTATTATTCAATAGAAAGCGGCACATTTGGCATTCTTCAATATTTTCGTTACCATAATGACTATAAACATGAAACGTTGTATTAGCCGGTACGGGCACGCACGACTAAAAAATAACAAACCATTTCATATAAATAACATCGTTTTTACTCTATTATTTCAAGTTCTTTCCAACTCATTATAGCAGATTACTAATTGTTTTGTGTGAATTATGAAGCAAGATTGTATGCTAATCTAAGCGTTATATAGCAGAAGAGGAAACGAGGACTACATTTGTATCTGAAACCAAATGTTCCTTACGAATCACTATTTTAAAAAATGACTTTAAATAAGGAGGCACTGAGCAATCGTGATTACTTTTATTGGTTTGCAAGTCTGGATTGAACTGTTTGACGAATGTGGTTGTGTGACGGATAATCGGTTTTTTTTCCACTTTGCAACACTTTTAATGTTCATTGTAACTATGTAAAGTATGATGTGAGAAATTTTACGAAAATAAGCGCATTATAGAGGTGTTCACGCTGAGATGTTATTATTGCTATGCTTCGAAATGTCATGTGGTGTATAAAAATATTGAAATAACAAAACAATTATTCATACATATTATTGTACACGATCAACAGCAAAAAAAAGGGAAATTTCGATGACGTGACTTTTAGTTTTAGAACTTTCTGACCATCAGCGTCGAAAGCGAACGTTGTTGCAAAGTTTTATCCGTACCAAAACGTTCAAATGAACCTTTTTTAAACTAAAGCTAGCACTCATGCGAAGAACGTGAAAGCATCTGATTCTGCTGTATTTTAGGCTTTCCATTTCTTATAATGTCGAGATTTTTTCAGGTTTTTGTGATAAGACACTTCCCTTGCTCAAGAGAACGTAGCTTTCAAAAATTTAAGCAGCAAATGTCCTATTTCGACCTCACAGTGGACATTTTTCTAATAGCAGAGGGATATCAATATTTTCTGCTCCCAAACCATTTTTTCATGAATAATTATCACTGCTTAGTTATGTTTGATACTTTTCAAGAAAAAATAAACGTTTTCGAAAAATCAATCTTGCTGTTTCGCTGAAAAAAATTTCGACGAACAATTATTTGATCCAAAACTTATTGTGTCATATATAAATCGATGTGAACCGACGCGCTGATTCCGAATCTATCGCTAGTTTTGTGTAGAAAACATTGCATTTTATCTCTAAAAATAAGGTTTTCTATGAAACCTATAGCACGGTATAGGAACGGTTGGGCGTTTTGGGGGTATGTATTATAGATGCGCTACATTTGGATATAGATTTGAGCTAGATTCAACTTGCTCTATCTCATTACGTTGAACGTAGCTCTTAGAAAAACCAACTAGCTGGAAAATAATTTTATATCTCTGATTACATAGGTCTAAACTTAGAACTTTTTTAACTACCTGATAGCCGAAGATGCCTTGATTCAAAATCACTGTCATTTTTAACTTTGTTGGATTAGAAAATAAAAATTTTTTTAGTTCAAAACCATGTGTCTTTAGGCTAGTTTTTGCCCAGCTGTTTTCTTATGAATCTTGGTGCTTAAAAGAAAAATTTTCATGCCATTAAATGGAGCTCAAAAGTATACGAGACTGTTATGTATTTGACGCTAGACAAGGCACATTTTCGATTTTTTACTTTATGTCCACCTAGATGCCAGAGCTTGGCAAGTCAGGAGTTTTGAAAGTCACAAGTCAAGTCAAGCAATTAAAAAAAATTTCAAATCAAGTCGAGGTCGGAAAATCTTTTTTTCCCAATCAAGTCATCCGTTGAAATTTTTTCCGCCAAGTCAAGTGAGGTCTAGTTAAAATTAGGCAGAACATAAAATTTGCTAGCACCTTTTGGGTAAGAGAGTTTTTATAGCCTCAGAAAGTCTCTTTCATAGTAGAAAAAGTCTAATTTAAACGAAAATCTCTTACTGGAAATGACTTCACTTGAAAAAAATTTCTCAAGTCAAGTCATTTTTGACTTGACTTGCCCAGGTCTGCCGATTACCCACTGTGGGCACATATCTAAGCGATATCTTCTGAAAGGTTATATTAGATGTACAGCCTCGAAAATTTTGTGACTATATTATACCCAGAAATCTCTGTCGTATACCGAAACTGCTTTTTCCTTGTATTTAGGTGATTAGTATTTAATTGATTTTACGGAATGAATGAATTTGTTTTGTTTACACGTGGATTTGTGTCTCAATTTCGAAAGAAAAAATCTTGTTTATAAAGTGTCAATATTCTGCTTTTTTTTGAAACTTAGTAGACATACTACAGAAATAACTTGTTTCGTATACCACCTTTCTGAGGGATGTCAGAATATTAATACGCAGTGTATTCTCAAAAAGCGACTATTTTTTTAAACTTGCTGGGATTGATGTATTCTCATTAACAATACACAAATGCAAGAATTTGCATACTGGCTCACTTCCATGCTGCACCTCCCCGACCGCGGCACTATATTTGTGTATTCTCGACTATTGTCAATGAGAATACACCAAGCCCAGCAAACCCAGCACATTTCATAGAAATTTATATATTTACGTATTCTAGTGTATTCTCAAATGAGAATACACCAGAATATACCAGAATACACAAATATATAAATATCTATAAAATGTGCTGGGTTGGCTGGCCCCCAATTTATATATTTGCGTATTCTGGTGTATTCTCAGCAAGTCCAGCAAGTTTCAAAAAATATAGTCGCTTTTTGAGAATACACTGCTTACTGATATTCTGACATCTCTTACATTTGTTATTGATTACTTTGGGATCAAGATAAGCGGTAGTGAAAATGAGTCACTAGCTTCCACTTGATGGATGGAGTTTAACAGTATTGATTCATTGCTCTTGTTGCAAAAAGAAATAATCATTAGTGTGATTATTCACCAATCATAATAACTCGTTTGTCATTTTATCGCTCTCTAGTAGTCAATAGAAAATATGTGCAAGAAGAAATATATGCAAAAGCAACTTTATAATAAGATTCGAATGCGATTAGATCGAAGTAACGACAGTTATAGGACACTAGTAAAGTTTGTACGAAACTCAAGACGAAACTAGATAGGACAACTCGAGCTAAACACACTTTTCACTACTCAACATTACACGAAAATTTTAGTTGTTCATTGCTCTCACTTCTAGACAATTATTTTGTGATAATGTCGAAGAATACAATCAATATTTTGTGTCCAAGTGGACATCGACGAAAATTTCAACAAATGACACCAAATACGAAACTATTGCAAGTGTGTGTTTTCTTCTTTATAATTTTTCAGCGTGGAGAGTACTGCACAAATATCAAGCGCATTTCTTCATTTTCCTAATGTACTAGAGAGATTTACATGCAGATATTGGAGTAAAACTCTGGATCCGAGCGGATACGGATCTGTAAAAACCCAGGATTTGCAGGGTTCTAATTATCAAATAAAAAGTTGATTATATATTGTTGTTGTATTATTTTCTATTCAAAGGTTCTTGACGAGATTTGTACGCAAGAAAATTTGGATCCATCTGAATGGGGTTTTATGTTAGTATTTATTCCCTAACTGTTTAATATATTGAATTTTTTCACACTTTTTTGTCTTACTCTAGTCATCAACGTGTTAAATGTGATTTAACAATACCGTGGCGTTTAAGTCAAATTCCCACAAATGCTCAATTGGAAATGTACAAATTAGATCAGCGTCGTTCACATCAGGATGTAACAGTTCAATTACAGTTAACAGATGGTACACGTTATTCGGGATTATTTGAACCGGTAGTTACTCTACAAGAACTACTAGATTGGTTTAGAGTTCAACCAGAAAGGTAGATAAAGGAGAGAGAATATCTGTTTGAATATCTTTATCTCTTCTTTTCTTGCCAATTCTAGTATAATTGCTGCCGTTGATATCTCAGTTACTGATACAAATACTTATCCAGTATGCAGTTATATGAATGAAGAGGTTAGTATTGAAATCTTATGAATTCCTTCTACTTAGTTATTCTTTATTTGATTCAAATTTAGATTGTTGGCGAATATGCACTGTCAAATACAACATTACGGGAACTGGGACTTACTGGAGGAACAGCAGTTATACGGTATGATTGTTTTAATACTAAAAATTTTTCATATAACCACTAGTTCCCCAGCTCTGTGCAAATATTGTCTTAACCTTTCAGGCAAATATTGTCTACTTCGTCCTTTTTGAGAAATTTTAATGTGAACCTTTTTGATTTATGAAAGCAAACTTCTTTTCTTTTCACAAACTTTTTCCTTTAAACTTCTATGTAATAAGATGTCATAATTTCCCCGAATTGAATTTAGCATTCAGAACTAGTGATAGCTGTCATTTACAGTGCATTATAAAAAATTTACTTTAGTTATCATCATCGTACAGTAAGTAATGATGAAATCAAACGTATCAATAATCAAATTGATGAAAAAATTGTACGTCGACGTCAGCAACAACAAAAACAACAAACGACAGCGATAAACAGTCAATCTCAAAATGCTTCATTGTCTACAACAAATACATCTCAATCACTATCATCTAATTGGCAGTCTCCTTCACAACATTCCACACTTGAAAATACAATGTCAACAACACGAGAACCACCTCGACCAATCAGAATAAATGATAATATACCTTCAATATTTCAAGATCAGCCAGTAACTACGCAAAGAACAAATGTAAGCTGTTAATTAATTACATTTTGAAATTTCACTGAAAAAATGTACAGTTCGGAAAAAAAGGACATATACCGATGACATTATTTAGGGCTGACCAAAAGTTCTGGCAACATTAAATAAAAATATAAAGATAACGAGATATTTTTAATTTAATTTTGTCAAATGTTCAGGATAGTTGCCATGATTATTTATATCAAGTTTAATCCTTTCTAACAATTTATTAAAGTTTTTTTGAACTCTTTTTCTAAAAAATGTTTAGCTAACTTGGAAACCACATGAGCACATCACATTTCATTTATTTAATTAGTTAAACTTCGTTCGATAGAATTATTTAATCAAATATTATGTAGTATTAGGTATGACGAATATGGCGGATGTGACATTATATTGATGCCTTCTTCTGTCAAATAATAAATAATAGCGGATGAGATGAAGTCAGCGATGACCGTCAAGCAATTTTGTACATATTGAATCTGACATCTCTGTTTGTTTTCGTATTACATTAACAAAAGGCTTCAGACAATTTTCAATATAATACTTGTGACCTACAGTCCTGCCTTTATCTACACTTAGGACTATTTGATTTAATGAATATACAAAACAATGGTTTGCTTCAACTCTGTCTCCATGAACAATAGTCTTTAACGATTCATCTTCAATATACCCATTAGCATCAGATAACTTATGACTAACCTATCTAAAATGAATCCATATCTTATTAGTAGTAATACTAGAACACAACTGACATGATCGAACAAAGTTTCGCTAAAATTTTAAAACAAATGAAATGTGATGTGTTCATGTGGTTTCCAAGTTAGCTAAACATTTTTTAGAAAAAGAGTTCAAAAAAACTTTTAATAAACTGTTAGAAAGGATTGAACTTGATATAAATAATCATGGCCAACTATCCTGAACATTTGATAAAATTAAATTAAAAATATCTCCTTATCTTTATATTTTTATTTAATGTTGCCAGAACTTTTGGTCAGCCCTAAGTATGAATTAATTATACAATATTTTTATTATTTAGCGTGGTCCACAACCAAATCAGTCACCAACGTTAGCTCAAGCACTTGGAATTAATCTATCATTTGATGAACGACTTGATCAACGGCCAAGAGTTGATTTTAGTAATTTCAAAGTAATCTACTTCTTAAAACAACAATTATTTTATTAATTTTCTACACTTCTTTTATTGAATCTGTTTTAGTTTCCAGAATCAACAAAAGGAAAAAATCTTTATCAAAATGAGTCAGCTGATCAGCAAAAAATTATTCAGAATTGGAAGGTAGAAATTTTGTTTGTTCAACTATATTAGTCTCGTGTATTATATATTTTCTTTTAAGCCATGTGATCGTCAAACACTTGTTTATGATTTAACAAAAATAAAGAAGAATAGAGACACTCGTGATTCTGGTAAGTAAGAAATGTTGTCGTAAACGTTCATAATTGGAGAAAAAAATTGTTATATCTTTTCACAAGATTTACCCGATACTTTCTTCGAATTAACGCCAAATGATTTAAGATTAGTACTAACAGATTTAAAACGTTTAAGGTATGTAATCAGTGATGTTTTTCATTATCATTTTACTTTTTTGAATTTGAAATTGTATATTCTAGAAGTGATGTATATTAAGCTTTTATGAGGTTTCTTTCTCCTATTACATATTCTATTTTCGGCAGTTCATTCGGTTGATTTATGGAAATTTTCATATTTCTTTCTAGTGATCCCGAGGAGGACTTAAAAACTCGTGCAATGCGTGAAGGTGGTGGAAATAAAAGTTGTTATGAACATATAGCAATTCGTTTAGTTGTGAATAATCGTTATATTCTTCAGGGTTTATTTCGTCCGACCGAACCTGTTTCTCGTTTATATGACTTTGTTCGCAAAAGTATTCGTCAAGAACAAACACAATTTTATTTATATACATCACCACCTAAAATTGAAATTAAAGATCTTTTTAAAACATTGATTGAGTATGAATTAGCTCCAGCTGCATATGTCTATATTGGAACAACGAACAGTAAAAGACCAGCAACAGCTAGTGCAAGTTCAACAACATTAATTGAGTTAAAACCAGAATTAATTCAGCCATCATCGTTGAAAACACTTGAATATGCTGACAAGATTGTATCGCAAGAAGTATTTGAGAAAGTGAAACAAATATCGGATGAAGATGCAGCTTTAGATACACTTGGAGGTCTAACAAATACTACACAACGTCCAACAAGTTCATTATCTATGTCTGCTCAATTAAGTACATCTACACAACGTCCGCGACAGATGGCAACAACAAATAATGACACTGAAATAAAAGCAAAATTAGCTAAATTTTTGCCCAGTCGAAAATGAACAATCAATGTTCTTCATCGTCGTTCATATCATTTATCTTTATGTTTTTTATTTTATTTTTTAACAAACGTGAATTTCTGGTATGTCTAGTACGTTTTATTATTCCCGTTTATTTTTAATATAATAAACATGATTACTTTGCTAGATAAAGATTTTTATCAAATGACAAATATTGATTTTAAGAGAATTAAGCGTATTCATTCGCTAATAATATATGCTTATACACTATTCTATTTTTTCCAATAGAAAAATATCATATTGATATTTGATTTTGACTGTACTTGATCTAAATTTTTAATTAAATTTAGAAATATATGCAAAGTCAATATATGCAAGCCAAATATTTGTTCATTTAAGCTTCCATTAGTGCATTTTTTCTCTTCTGTTTTCTAAAAAGAAGGATATTATAACTGATATCATAAAAATTATATTCGCTTTTTATATGTTGTTCACAGATAATTTTGCTACTTCTAGAAGATAAATTAAATTATCAAATCACTAACATCGGTAAATACCAATCGGATCGGTATTGCCGAAGAGCTTTTATATTTGGTAAAAAATTTTCTTTTTAATTTGATTTTTGTTCTAAACTTTTTCATTGTTTTCAAAGTTCAAAATCAAAAAATAATTTCAACTCTTTTACTTTGAAACGAAAAACACTATTCTATGCTATTTTTTCATTGACTATTTTGTGTGTGTGAAAAGCTCGCTAAATGAAGAGTTAGAATGATTAAAATACGATCGTTCTATGGTTGCGCTATTAATTTTTCGAAATTGAAGTAAAAATTGTCTAATTCTTATCGTAATTACTAATGGCCTGTATCATACAGCAAGACAGACATCTCGTATCAATATTACATGACCAACAATTAAAAATTGATCTTCTATTGCACAGTGTGCGTTTTTCTAAAGCTTGATAATGACAAATACGTTTTTTAAATGTTTTGAGTTAGTATTAATCTGAATATTTTTACTTACATTCAGTTCTATGTATCCAAGCAAAAATGACCCAATTTTTTGGGTTATTTATCTAGATTCAGCTCCACGTACATCTAGATGCATGTGAAGCTGAATCTAGGTAAATAAATAACCCAAAAAATTGGGTCGTTTTTGCTTGGGTAACATAAATATCATCGTAATTGACATAGTTCGTAACTGAGCATGTCATTTTTGGAGGAGTAACCCCGTCTGGAAAAATATTTTGCATGAAGACAAATATGCCATCTGCGAGAACCAGTGCATTTTAGCTTAATTCTGAGAAAATATAAGCTAAAAAGAATGTGTATTATTTAGTTTTTCTTCGGATGATCATAAGAAAATACGTAGAGTGATAAGATCCTTCCTTTATAAAGTCCTATTCAAGATTCTTAAAAGCTGCTTGCAGTCGTCAAAGATATTTCTCTTATTTCGTGATTGAATCATTAAGGGCCCAGTCTCGATGAATTATGTCGAAAAAATTTTTGTCTTTTAAGTAAAATGTTGAGTTTATTTTGTAGACATGCTGTCGCAAAACGAAAAAAGTGAGCGAAAAGAGCCCAGTATACATTCACTGCGTTCTCTGACGCAACGCAATCTGAACACAGCACATCAGTTTTCATTTCGTTTCATTCAGTTTCATTTCCGAGCATATCAGTTCTACAGAGTAGGAGGTATTAGAAATGGCAACATAATCTACAATCTTATCATATAGATTTAAATGACATTCATTAATAGAAAGACAAATCAAAATAAACGGTTAACGCGACAAAGTCCATATTGACGCCTTCAGATCATTGCCCCGAATCTCTAATATCGTTACTAGAGATTTTAAAATCATTGTCAGAGACGAAAGACTTTAAGATCATTATCAGTAGGTAATGAGACCATTAGTAAAGGGAGAGAGAGCATGGGATAAAAAAGACCAAAAACACTGAGGTTGTGAGTGAGTATACACACTCATTCTTCTTCTGAAAACTATTGTGAGGAGTTTCACAAAAATAATAGCAGGGAGAACATACTATAAAAGCGTAAAAGATACGATTTTTATCACGTTTTGATCTAATTTATGCAGTGGGAAAGAATGATATTAACTTTGAAAAATGCATATACCTTCATCAAATAAATCAATTCAACTGTTAACTGTTTTTTCAAAAACAACTGCGGTTCAACTCACTAATAAGTAATATTTGTTTAAATTTAAAATTCAACATTTATTTGAGTTACAGTCACAAAAAAAAACAGCATACCAAAAAGGATTTTTACATAGCAAAATAAAAATAGACAAAAAAAAAGAGATATAAAATAATGAATGTACTTTGTTTTCAAAAATATGATATCAGCTGCAAATTTATTAACCACGTCTGCACTTAAGCTGAATTGATCACAATAAAGTTTTAGTATTAAAAGTGAAATTCAGGCGCCTCTTGTCTGAACTCCATGGGTAATTGAAAATTTGTTTTTCCACTGTTTATACTTTTTGAAAATGTTCTGTTTTTCAAATACTCTGAACGATTGAAGTTTCTTTACTTGCCTCTTTAAGACAGGAGATAGAGTAGTCGATCGCTATTAGATCAGGAAAATTTACACTTTGACTATTTTACAATTTATACGGTCATTTCTCAACGTGAAAGTTTCATTTTCTGTTTCCGAAATAGAGACTTTTCCTTCACATTAACTGGTAATCAAGATCAAATTAGAGACATGTTTATCGTATTCTACAGAACTTCATCTCTTCGATTTTTCACAACTTTACATTACTTAAGACGTGTTTTCTAGTTCTCCACACTTAGCCAAGCACTTCTATCTGTAAAAGATATAATAAACTGGTGTTTCTATTTAAAAAAATCGAGATTATCACAAGTCCTAAGGTTAACTAGACTATCATTAGAAATGTATTTTGAACCGTGTAGCTAATCTAAAAAGTGACTGAAAAATGACAAAAGTCGGGTTTTTTCCCTTTAAAAATCAGTTTTCCCACAGAATTAGCGTTTGCAAAAATCTACAAGTGAATAATACATGAAAAAAAACGTATAGATTTGACTACTCCTCGAAACTAGTTTTTCGCCATTTTTAATTCAGATTTTTCTGAATACTTGAAAAACATATCTTGATATTATACTTCGAGTACTGTTCACAACTTTATTTCTGAAACAATTGTATAACGTCACGTATTTAAATAGACGTGATCTAAATGAGTGTACATATGGTAAAATGGTTAAAGTATAAATTATCCTGATATATCTATTGCAGCCGACTGTTTTAAATGAACAAAAACACTAAAACAAAGTACAGAAAAATATATCACCGCGTTTCTCTACATTCTTGAAAAATAATAAATCAAACTAATGATTGAAATGTTATAAAATATCACATATAAAATCAGTCATGAAGATGACATGGATGTAGTCACTAAATCAAAAAAATACAAATATTACCGATTGAACGTCTACGTTACAACACAAAATAGGAATTGTTAAAACTATTTATAGACAACAAATTTTTAATGTCTGAAGTGTACATGAATGAGAGAACAGTTTACATTAAACTTTCATTGATCTAACCTTTCGAATCTTTCTTGGCGGTGATCGACTATGACTTTTATTTCGATTTGGATTTTTTCTTCTGTCTTCTTCCTGTTCGACTGATTCCAACTTTTTGTCTAAACCAAGTAATTGAATTCGAATCGATTCAATATAATTTTTTAGTTGTCTATGTATTTTAAGTAAATTATCTTTTCGCTCTAGTTCATCGCGTACTCTTTGTTCATATTTCAATAAACTAGCCTTTCCTCGTTGTTCTAGTTCTGTTAATGAATGTAATTGTTGGTTACATCTTTCAATCGTTTGTCTGATTGATGAGACATCTTTTGAATGTTGATTATCGATTATTTGTTTTGTCATTAATAAATTTTGTTCTCTCATTTTTCTCAAATTATCAAAATCACGTTGTTTTTGTTGACATTCTTTCATTTCTAGCTTCAATTGTTCACGTATCTTTGAATATTCATTTGATAAATGTTCATAATTTTGTTTTATTTCACCAGCATTTATTTCATTTAATCGTTGTTCATATTCTTGTTTCATTTTCGCGAGTTCTGTTTGATGCTGTTCTTCTAATAATTGACGATTTTGTCTCAACGTTTTATTCTCAGTAAAACATCGTTTACTAGTCCTTTGAATAATTAACCAACTATCATTGAGACTACGCACGTTATTGTGTTCACTTAGTAACGTTTCATCGCCGTTGTTACTGGTATTATTATTCATCGAATCGCTTTCAGACAAATTGATTGGTGTTGACGATAAAAATTGATTATTCAATAATGGATCGAACGAAATATTGACATCAGATGGTCGATCATGGTTAGTTTTACACGTTGGAATGAGTGATTGACAATCACCAAATTCTTCCATTGAATTAATAAAATAGTCTAGAATAAAACAACATACGGGTAACAAAGCTTCACTCGACAGTTTTGAACTGACAGCAGTAAACTCGACAATTTAATATAGAATCTCGAGCATCCGTACAACTATGAAAATACAAACATTTTTCTTTTGAAGCTGATCAAAACGTTTATTCTACACTAGAAACAGAAAGTGCAGTATCTTGAGATTCGATAACAAAAACACTATCGAGAACATTTTTCAGAGACGAGTTAACTAATATACCATAAATAAAGTTCTAAAAACATGTGGTCAATAGGCTAAAATGAAGAAACTCAAAAGCTTAATAAAACAAGCTCAAATTAGATCATAGTTTGTCGTATTTGAGAGATAAAAATAAAAAACTCGACTGATTACATATGAGAATTAACCACGTGTTTATCTGGATAGACAATAAAATCAGTTGATACAATATGTACAGAAAAAGTCGAGTTCAAAATAATAGGGAACTCGGCAAAAATCAAAGATACATCTAGAATATTCGTTTGTTCATCAAAGATCAGTGAAAAATATGAACTAGCATGTGTTCATGACGCTGCAAATGACGGTTACTATACTAACCAGAGATCTTCTGACGCTATTTTTTTTTCCAGATAAAATCGATGATACGGTGTTAGTGAATACAATGGCAGAAACTTTATACTACGAATATATATTGTATCATCAGATATATATAGCCTAATATAAGAATACATGTATTTCATTTAAATGCTATCAATACACAATATATATATGTCAGTATGCATGAATTCTTGCATGCTGCTAGGATTTTACTCGTTAAAGACTTCGTACATTCATGTATCTTTATGAACGTATGGGTTTATCGCAGAAAAGTGCTCCTAGATAGTGAACATATACATAGATACTCATCTTTTCTATTTAAATAGTAAAATCTTAAATTCATAACATTATCTTTTATTGCTCATTATCTAGACAAGGGACGCATCGAGAATAATTTAAATAAGGGCCATCTATCTGTCGTACTAAGTCGTATATTTATTAATCTATCTGTTCTTGACTTTTTAATTCGATACTGTTCATCAGTACTGCATTTTTGCATCTTTTTTTTTTGTCTGTTCACATATACAGTACGATCACACTAAAACATTAATCATCTCTGTCGAACAAAGAAGCATTAATCATGTATTGAAATCATAATTAGCACTGTATCGATAAATTATTCTATTTTTTCATATACATACATAACTAGATTGTTTAAAATATCGTTCTATTTGCATCTATGAATAAAAACAACATAGAAAATTCAATATTATTTCTAATCTGCTAATTACTCGATAAATGTGCTCTCGTCCGTTCATCAACCATTTGACGTTGACCATCTCTCATTCCACATTTCAGACATACGAGATCGTGCCTATGTAAAACTTAGTTTTGTTTACAAACAAAATAACAAAAACTTATTCATATCGTTAAAAATCAAATCAAATTGATAAAATTTATTTAGCACTGATACAGTAATTTCGAAGCTATGGTTTTTCAGTAATATGAACTGTTAATATATGATTTCATGAGCAATATAATTAACTTATCTCTCATAATCAACAGCAGTGATAACTGGGTGAAATTTTTTTGAGTAAATAGTCCAATGGACTTTGCAAACTTCAGTATGCTCTAGGAGTGATCCATCAACAGCACGACCATTGCCAACAAACAGTTTATTGCTACCAATTTCTGTTTTCTTTTTTGTCGATTGTTACAAACAGCTTTAGCGTTCCTTCGTTTCTACTATCACACCATTTATTCCAAGTCATCTCCACGAGCACTAATTTCACGCTCTCATTCACCGACGTTAAATGATGTCCATACACGGTTCGTTTATATGTCCGAATTTCATGTAGAAATAACATCTCTCTTTATAGCTCTTTGTGCATTTTCCTGATGATGAGCTTAGACGTTTCGAATCCTTAAAAATGAAGATACAAAATATTAATAATTCTATACAGTGTATACTATACACTACATAGGATCGCCTATAACAATACAAAAACAACATGTTTTTTACGATTTTTCCTCGATTCAAGTCCATCCAAAAAATTTTGCAGGTCCAGACCAGTCCGTATGGACTGGATTGGACTATGGCCTCAGTCCGGTTCATACGGATCTGTCGTGCACATTTTGTGGCATACATCGCTGAGAGAGTTTTGGCTTGAGAAATCCAAGAGTTTATCATCTTTAATCCAATAAGAATCATACGATGATTAAAACCAAATTGTCCAGAAAATTCTCCTTTGAACAATGTTAACGAAGGCATCTTTGTATCCATGTCCATACTGATAGGCATCGACAACAACACTTACCACCATCCTCATTCAAAGAAAGTTACCAAACTTAAAATAAGTTAATTTAATTGGTAATGTTGGGAATAAAAGAGGAATTCGTTGATTAAGAGATGTCAATATCATTAAAAAACCTGTTCATGCAGTCACAATATTACACAAACAAGTAGTAGCTAAGAGAACTATATTATAGATGGGCAATGTCATGGGAATGGTTAAAAATGTTTTCTCTGTAAAATGTCTGAGGAGGATCTCAGGTGAAAACTTTCGAAAAAAATTTTTTAGATGGCATCTTCTTGATCAGAATTTCATGGGTTTTCGAATAAATTAGATCTGTAAGTTTGTAATAAAAGTCATGGGTAAAGTGATCGATTTCCTATGGTATTACTCAGATGCCAACGAACCGTATGATTCGAATGAATGAAAAAAGTTTATATTACTGTATTGTCTCTTTTCTAAAACAGAAGTTTTTGCAAAAGGATTTTTAATACAAATCTGCAAAACTAAAGGATGTGGCCCATGTTCATCACTAAAAGTTCTTTTCTCAATTCATGGGCATGAGCAATGGACATGATCCTCGATATCTAGTTAAAATATTTAAAATACTTCTAATGTACACACCTTAAGTGCTTTTAGCAGTCATTTGACCGACGCTTAGACATTTAAAGTGGCATTTCCACTTTTTTCGCCCGTCAATCCTAATGATCGTATCTGTTCATCTTTCTGCAATAAAAAATTTCAAAAGTTCATTGCTAAGCGTTAATTTGATTTCGAATGGAAATCACCGAACGAGAAAACATTAAAAGAACATTATTCGTAGAAAAGTCAAAGATGTTGGTTAGAAGTTAAAAAGAGAGAATTTCAAATCATAAACTGGAACTAAATAAAGTTGTAAATGATCCCGGAAATCGAGATCAATTGTGCACGAATTAAATATGCACAACTGATCCAGAAAATTTTTCTTTTCTATGGTTCATTGATAACAGGATGAAGAGAGCTTTGTTTTTAAACAAGGATATATCACATAGAAAAAAGTTAATAATTAGAGACCTGACTGTGGGAGAACGATAATGATTTTTAACCTTTCATTGACAATGCTGTTTCATTTTCTTCAGTCTGACCTTTCTTTTACGTTTGTCAAGTAACTGTGGTATAACATTGTCTCTTAATGGACGACAAGTCGTTAATTTTCGTTTGTTGTGATTATGGGCGTCTGATGAAGAGATTGTGTACCATCTGAACGTTGTTTTGCTTTGAGTTGATATTGTCGATATTCTGAATATTGATATGTTATTTACCATTCATTCTTTAACTGTTCCGTTCCCTTGTTTCATACATTGTTTTCTTTTGTAAAAATGAGAGTGAACTTGAAACTTTTACAAATATAAATAACTAGTCAAACTTTATGTGCCATTGTGCTACAGAGACCTATACAGTTAGATTATGCCTGTAGAAACGGACGGTCAAATTTTACTCCATAAAGCATATCTGATCGATCACGAGTAGGTTGGAAATGGCCTTCGTTGGCTAAAAGAAAATAAAAACATTTTCCGAGATCAATTTTGCATATTTAATTCATGCACAATTGATCCCGATCACTTGCGTGAGGTTTTTACAAAATTTTGTAAACGGAATCACTTCTACGTTTTTTACGAAATCATTTGTTTTCCCATGTACTGAAACTAACTATCAGTTGATTTGGTCTTGTTTTTAAAAAATTGATATTTGTGGCTATCACTTTATTTTTAGCCGATAGAACCGTATGTCTAAAGAAGTTGCCGATGTTTTTGAAATAATTTTGATTGCATCTAGGAAGAAAGATATAAATTAATTTTCGTCAATGTAGTGAAATCTCATTTTACTTACTATCCTGTTTTTCATATTACAGTTTATGAACTGTATCATCTTTTTTCAACAGCACTGTATGTGCGCTAACAAATGGTGGATCTACTTTGTGATTTGTAGTTGTTCTCAATAAATCGTTTCAATAACTTTGACACTGTAATTGATAATTCTTTTTCAATAATGCACCTAGGAAGAAACGAAACATTAATTATCTCGGTGAATAGAACAGTAATAAGATTATTCTTTGGACTCATCAATGGGGAATTAATTCTCTGTTGAATAATAATTGCTAGCAACAACACAGCGTATACTAACTAGAAGAAAAGCAACATCTAGCATGCGTACTTTTCGTAATCTTTTCGGAATATCGATTTTCAAATGAATAGCATGTCAGAATCAATGATTAAGGCAGTCACGGTGTATACTACAGCTTAGCAACATTGATCCATGTCAGCAAATCTTAATTGAAGGTATAAAATATTTTATCATTTTTTAGTCTAAAATGTTGTCTGAATTATCTAATAATAGTTGTAATTTTCATAAAAAATTATTAAGTGTTGGTAGTCATCACCCGTGGGAGAATTCTGTCGAAGTTTCAAGTTACAAGTGGACTATATTTTTCACGCGTGTTCACACATCATTTTACGATGTTCACGTGCGACCACAGTTCATTTCACGATATTCACGAGTGTGCACGCTGTTTGATATACTAAAATTCCCTCATGGTCATAGTTTGTTGAGTCGGTTATTCACTAAACGATATTTAATTTGTCGCAAAGTAACAATATTTATCAATGGCGACAAAAGTTCGATATTCCTTTTTTTTGTCCAAAGCATGTTCCACTGCTGCTAATCATAGTGCTTCGACTGTAATATAGCGACATTTCTTGATATAACTGTGTACACATAGTATTAAACAACTACACAATACAAACTGAAGTTTTCTCAAAAGTAAAATTAAATTCACTAATAGGGATGAACGGTTAGAGAAAGTACACATCATTTTTTCACGTTCTTGGAATATTATTGCTTTTCTACTCCAATACGTCTAAAACCCGGAGTGATGTTGAGATAAACATTATACACTAGTGTGAAAGTAACAAAAGCAAACCATCAGATGCTTGACGATGTTTTTCTATCGTATTTAAATCATGTGAGAAAAATAAATCGTACTGTAGCAAACTAATTTAGCTACAATTTAGAACTTGAGGGTTTTCATCGATGCTCGTTTCGACAGGCATGTTAACAAAATTTCATCTCTAGTATAAATAGGTGTTCTAGAAAATCGGGACCTTTTATCACTCCAAAACAAAGAAAATTTCATCCAAGAAAATTCATATTGTTCATGAATCTTGTTTTGAAACAAATATGATAAGAAAAATAAGTTTTCAATTAGTTTCAAAACATGCAGTTACTCGAAAAAAACTTTTAGTTATTCAGCTGACTTTCCACCCCCTCCCAAAACTCGCATCGAAAACGCTGGGAGTATATAACATATACTATCCATAAAACTTGTAAAATACTTGAAGATTCTACCATTCAAAGGGCAAGATCAAGTCATTTTGATAAATATCCAACGCTCATAGGTGTGAGCGATAAAGATATAAAGCTAGAAGTTATTCTATACAGTCAAAAACTGCGTAAAAATAAAAAAGGATACTAGTAGGGTTTTTGAAAGTTTCTAGAAAATCACTTTCAGAATTTATAATTCTGGCAAATCCTTGCATTTATTCAATTTTTTAAGCATTATCCAATGACTTTGAAAAATAAATTTTAGCTCTTTACTAAGCCATATTAATTCAAGTTGAAAAAAAAAGTCACACTTTCTCATTTTTAATTTAAAAATCGATACCAAATGATTTTTCAAAATTTTTTTGTAAGATAATTGGTAGTGTTTCGTGTATAACTTTTGTATGACTAAAGTTTTTGTTTTTCAGTGTTTTCTTGGATGAAATTTTCTTTGTTTCGGAGTAATAAAAGATCTCGGTTTTCTAGAACACCTATTTACATTAGAGATGAACATTTTTTTGACATGCTTATCGAAAAGAGCATTTCGTCGACCATAATATGGAGAAAAAATTTGAAAAAAGATCTGAATAGCTGAAAGAGTTTCTATCTGGTGTAGAGTATAATAAAGATTTCAACAATTCGTCTGGGACTACGATTTCTGGAAAACATAAATTCTAGAGAATCAACTCCTCGACGGCGTTTGAGACCTTTTTTGTTAACAACGCTGTCATATAAAGCAAACATTTCATTCAACTTATGAAACGCTTCAACTGTCAATACCAGCAAGATCGGTTGGAAAAAGGACTTAAAAAGGCAAAAAATAACCGTTGGTGGCAAGAATTTTCTTTCGTTTTTAGATTTAGAAGATCCTTGTAAATCCAAGGGTCTGGTGTCAGTCATAAATCTTTATAAGTTTTCTAAAATCTTCACTAAATCTAGAAGTGTTTAGCAATATTTCGGTTTTCTAAAATACGCTATTTTTTTAAAGAATACATATGTTATCGAAAAACTCTACAGTCATCGGTAATTTATCGTTGGTAACGATACAAAAATCTTTTACCGAAATTTATCACGGTAAAAATTTGAAATATAATGCCGAAGCGTCACTAAGGACGTGTTACCGTTACCTCTCATTTCTAACCGTCAACTGTGATACTAACCGTAATAATGTTGCTTGCTCGCACTTATTAGCAAGCGGATCAGGAATCATTACATGCGAATTAATGCGAAATAAAATGAGCGAAAGCAGATGAAAATTAACGGAAATTCATGTCTATTCTATTAGAGAAGTTTCTGTGCATGAACTATAAACAACGTTAGACAAGATTTTCGAAAGATGCTCCCTGTTTGCTTTTTAACTAATATCTACTCAGACACCGTTTTGAGAGAAAGTTCGTACATTTCGTTCCGACATACTAGAAAACGCCAAATCTCCGAAATTAAGGCTTTTTATTTACATTAAATGGGGCCATTTTCAGAAATGATAATAATATATCACTCAATCTTTAGAAATAGTATTGTATCAAGTTAAACACAAAGATAATATAACGTTCGAAAGAAATAAGTTTAGCGAGAAAGTAGAGTAAAACGATAGAAAATCCTAAAAGTTATAAATAATTTATATCAATAACATAATAGCGAATAAAAGCAATTGACGAGAAGCATAAGAAAACAGATTAGCAGATATCATTAAACGGACGTAATATTAGCATTGTTAACATCAATACCATCGATTGAAAAGCCACTTTTCCTACATTGCCGATCTCATTTTTTACAAAAATATCCCAAATAATATAGGCAGTTTAGATGTAGTTTTTTTTGTGTAAAACTGGTACACATAAAAATTATGATATTATCCAAATACAATGAAACGAATATGAATGAAAATATTTCGTTTGTACAATAGAATAGTTAAAAATCACAAGTAAATTATAATTAACATAATGAAATAGTCACACTAAGTTCTATAATGTTAAAATTGAAATAAAAGCAAAAATAATATTAATAGTTGAAACAGCAAAGCACATAAGACGCACTATTACACATGGAGCTCAAGTTTAATTACTTTTAAATATATTTTGTACTATTTTTTCAGTTCAAAATATGCCATCAATTGGATTTATATTCCAATAGATTGAATTATTTCAACAATCATCTAAACTGCTCGTAAAGCCCATTAGAATTGTGATAAATAATAAATATAATTACTTTACATTATTCATTTTAAACGAGTCAATTAGTCTTGTGCATTCTTATAACAAAGAGAAGTTGTTGTTAAGTAAAATCTCTTTTATTTAATCAGATAGAATTCATCAGGTCAACGTTTAACCAATAGTCTTAAATTTATTGTGTACTCATTATGAACATTGTCTGCATTTGTTTAATATCAATTTCGTCTGTTTCCTCATCTTTATCATTCAAATAATCGACTAAACTATTTATCATTTGATAAAATTTCGTATAAACCACGTGACTATCATTGATATCAATATTATATTGTGATGGAGGAGATGATGTTTTTAAATTAATATCAAATAATTGATGAAATGTATTAAAATATTCAAAATAAGGTAGTAATATAGCTTCATAGATATTTACTGAATAATGTTTATTACTTATTAATTTAAATTGATTCTCTTTTAATCCACATTTATTTTCATTGTCATGTTCATCATATTCATCATCAAATTTTTTATTTAATGCCAAAAAATAGCTCATAGTTTCAATAATATATTGTTGAAATAATTGTTTATCGCATAAAAATTTTAATGTTGATTTTATTTGTCTATAATGAATATATTTTATTAATAGATCAAGAAGATGTTTTATTTTTTCATATGTTTGATTATTTATAATTATGGAATGAATTAATAAAACAACGATTTGTTTATCAATTGAACGTAGAGGAAATTCAATTGTTAATTGATGATGTTGATATAAATAAACTAAATAGCGAATAGTTAATTTAATATTGTAACAATTATCTGCCGATAAATTTAAATATACATCATTCGATGGAAAATCTTCTAATTGTAAACCTAATAGTAAAAACGATAAATTTTGAATTATTGTATATAATGATAATGGTTTTACTAATAGTTGTTGTTTTGAGGATGGTAACAATGAATTACAATCAAGTAAAAGTAAATGAACATTATTGCACTTATACACATAGTTATTACTTAGAAAATTTTCATATAACATATATACCAAAGGATTACAATAATTTGCTGTATTTAATCCATTATCTACCTAGAATTGAAATGTAAAATATTTAATACAAGAATAGAAGGTGGTTTATATGCGGCGTGGCCACGTAACTTTGCTACTGTAGTAAAATTCTTTGACGAAGTTCTATTCTTCTCATTTATTAATGAAACAATTGCTAGAGCTATGCAACATGTATAACTGTAGAATAAACTTTTCTGAAGCAAAGGATGTATGATGATTCATTTAGCAAAATACAAAGAAAATACTAAACACTGCTTTTTCTAAATAAAGTTAGAAAATGGTATTCTGTATTTTCTTTGTATTTCCTAAATGAAAGATCATACATCATTTGCTTCAGAAAAGTTTGTTCTACAGTTATACATGTTGCATAGCTCTAGCAATTGTTTCATTAATAAATGAGAAGAATAAAACTTCAAAATTCGGTCACGGATAGACCTGTGTGTCGTTCCGAAAATCGGCGGTGTGAAACAAAGTTGTCAAATCGGTGGCGCCTGCGTAGCCTCCTCAAAAGATTTTTCTAGAGCTACAGCTAATATTAGTTGTAGGGAAGATATCGGGCTTACGAAACTGTCTCCGGACAGCACCCTATACCGCAAGGTAGCCGAAAGACAGGGTATTCTTCCTTCCTTCTTCTTCCAAAAGATTTTCCGTCTTCAATGGCGGCAGCGGCTAAAAGATTTTTTTGAAATTTTTCTATGCTCAGCGGCAGGGTTAATTACAATATAACTTCCTGTTTTTCTAATTTCTCATGACTTTTTATTCCAAAACTTTGTCTATCGGTGGAGGGCAAAACAAGTTTGTATTTTTAGCATCGGCGGTGGTGGACGCGGCGCACAGTCTAGTCACGAAATTTCACTACTGTAGCAGAGTCACGTGGCCACGCCGTATGATATTTTTCTATAGAATAAAATTACTTACTGTTGCTACAAGATAATTTTTGTTAATAGTATGACCATAAGTCATAAAATGATATGTTCGTAATAATTCTGATATACGATCGACCGATTTTCCACTAAAATCACTCATATCATTTAATAATAAATAGAATAAATTATTTATAGAAAATGATATCGTTGTCGAAGATGAAAAGGATAAAACAAATTGAATAACAGCATTTAATTTACCCGTATTTACAATAGATTTATTTGTATAACGTTGATATTTTTCAAATTCTGAACTCAATGTTATAATCGATTGAATATTAAATGTTTGAAAATGAGTCATATCAACAGAATTTAAAATTAAATAAAATAATTTTTCAACAAAACATTTTTGTTGTTGTTGATGAAATAAACTAAAACTTCGAATATTAATTGGATATGTTCGAATAAATAATTGAAATAATTGAAGTTTTGATTGAACAAATGTTTTATTATTCTCCAGTTGTTTTGTATTCATTATATAGTTTTGATATGCATATTTGAGTTGTTTTCGTTCATTTGGAAGAAAAAAATCAATTTCTGGACAATTCCAAATATCATCAGATGATGATGATGACATGATAAATATTCAACTCTTCATCTAAAACATACACATGTCAACAAGAATGAGAACATAAATTTTATTTATTAAACTTTTCTCCTACAATGTTTCTAGTCATCAAATCAATTTTGGTATGAGTACTTAGAAAATATTCATTTTTATTTCAATTTGTTGTTTTTTTGCTCATTGACTTACCGGAAGAGACAAAATGTCTATCTTTTATACTCGCCTTACAGATTCAATATAAAGTAATTAGTTGGATTTGCTCACAAAATGATCGTTGCTTGCTTCTGATTATGTAAGAGGTTCGCTTCATAATGTTATCTTATTCAAAAACATACTTCATTTACTTATCAATATTAAATGTAATGCAAAAACAAGAAAATATTGTTAACATAGAAGGACAAATCAAATCATAAGAGACCACGATATTCATTAGTCATTTGTCGTCCGCAATTTTTAGTTCGCATAACCAAAAAATCTTAGATAATGGATTAAAATAGATGTTATTGAACAGACTATTCATTCGAATGAATAAAGATCCATGTAAACAAATGTATAGATAAAAAAATCTATTTGGAAAAATTGAATATAAAAAAACGAAAAATACAAACTGTAAATAAACAACTGTGAATGTAAGGTTTTAGTTTAAGAAGAAGAAAAAAATCATACTCTTTTATCAAAAAGGAAACAGAATGAAAAAGAAATATTACTACAACTAAATATTGATATGACAATTCAAAATATTTTTCATTACAAATAAAATATCCTTTAAAACCTGAGTAGTTAAACATGAAAATTTAATGGACGGATTTTTTTTTTTTTTTTTTTTTTTTTTTTTTTTTTTTTTGACATAAATAAATTTTAGATTAATTCTACTTTCTTTTAAAAGAGCATTTGTTCCCTTAGGTAAGTATCTCTACGGATAAATTTGAATTTGACAAGGTTTCATTTTTCTG